GTACAGCAGTCTTGGAGTTCCTTGGACTAGGCCTGACAACCTGGCTGCTTTGCTTTTGGTTCTTCACAAGAAAGGAAAGATGATTTTGTTTAGGTGGGTGTTTTAATCTAAGTAATGATAGTGGGAGAGCATGCTTGGTGTAGTGTTTAAGAAAAAATGGACTAGGAACAGAGAAATCTGAGTTCCAGTCCTCTCTTAGATAAGAAGGTCCAGGCAACCACTTCTGAAAAAGTTGCCAAGAAAATTTTATGGACTGGTCCATGTAGTCACCAGGAGTCAAGGTTGACTCAAGGATCATAACAAGTGATGGTGGACTGCCTTTTTAGTTGGGACCTGATTTTATCTGTTGGAGTTTGTGGGTCTTTGTAAGTATGTTGTTTTATTGAGTTATAGCCCCTTCTTTGGTTTTTATGCTCATAAACTGCCTGCAATTGTGAGAGAGGAGTGGTATGTAAAGAAAATAAATAAATAAGCAAACAAGCCATTCTGAGAAACAGAAAAGCATCATATTTTAATTTGTGCGACTTACCTATCAGCCAACATCATGGAATTCTAAAAATAGGGCAATAAATAATCAAACGACAAAATAACAAAGCAAAGATGATCTTGGTAGAAAAGCACGCATTTTCTACCTTTATTCTGAAAACAGTGATGATGCAATGGCCTGCAATTTAAATTCCACAGAGTTATGGAGAAACTCTTGAGTATTAATGGAGCTGTATAAATTGGCATACCTATTTCTTCTACCTCTAGTATAACTACAGTATATCACATGGTTTTGGAGACCCATCTAGTGAATGCATTGAGAATTACGTCTGGCAAAAGAGGAAAGAGAAGAATATTTTTTTTGCATTTGAAAAGATCCAACAACATCAGTGTAAACAAAGGGATCAAAAGATCCTCTTTTCATGAACTTCATTCCTTCTAGACTTCATCTCTTGTTGTTGCTGTTTTTTATTTTTTGTTATCTCCTATTCTGGTCTAGTGAGTTTGAAAGAAGTTGTGTTAGGAACGGCCACATTTAAAGAAAGTACTGGAAAATATAGGGCTAATGTTTTGCCTATCAGTGTTTGATGGAGATCACTTTTAAAGGATCTTGCTGAGTCTTCTGCTAAACATGTACCGCATGACTTCATTCAATCAATCAGTCAAAAAGGAAAACTTCTGTGTGTGTGTGTGTATAAAAATAAAAATCACATAATCAGAAGTTATTATGGTAATCTGAAAAGCAGAAGGGAAGATAACACCTTCTCATATTCCACTGTCTTCGATTGTCCAGAGCAGGGCATAAAGCATAGGATTGGAACCAGACTGAATTCTCATGTGCTTGCAAGATCTGAAGATCGACTTGGCCTTGCCTTCCTTGATTTTGGGGGCGGGTGTATATTTGCCTCCAAACTCTCTGAGGTGCCTTGGGCATTCAACAGATTTCAGCCTAACATACCTCAAAAAGGTAAGTAAGACTAAACTACAGGGAAGTCATCATGTTTATCTCAACTTTCTTCCAAGGAGATCATGATGATGATGAGGAATTCTGGGAGTCGAAGTCCACACATCTTAAAGTTCTGGGAGCTGAAGGCCACACATCTTAAAAGTTGCTAAGGTTTAGAAACACTGTCATAGGGGAAAGGTAACACTGGAAGCTGAGAAATAACTCAATTTTCATTCATTCTTACTATTTTTTGAATTATACATGCTTTGGAACTGAGGATAAGAGTACTAAAATCCCACTTTCTTCTGAGGAATGATGGCCCTTTTTAAACAAGATTAGGGTTCTCACAAAACTCAGTTCATGCACGTGCAGATGTGACAAACGGTCTTGATTAAAGCTGATCAAAAACAATCCTCAGAGATGGAACCATCTCAAGAAGTCCTGTGTTTGACTTTTTGGCCTTTTTTTTTTTATGAGAAGGATATATATTAATCCAAAGGACTTATGGCATTTATGCAGTGTGGCGATATCTGGAGGGGACGGTCAAAAAAGTCACAATGGCGCCTGTAACTGTGCAGTCAAAGCCCTACCTTTTTTTTTTTTACACGTGAGTCAAGTGCAATGCAGGTAAAAAGGGGGCGGAGCTTCAATTATGGAAGTGTGGCCATTATTTTGACTCTTGAATGCCCCCCCAAGACACCTCCACAGTGTTTCCTGAAGGCAATGCACACTTTTTACTGGTGACAGATGAAAGCATTTTGATACCAAAGAAGTCATTTGCTCCTTATTACCCTCCCTCTATCAACACATCTTGGTGCAATTTCAATGTTTTTTTTTTTTAAAAAGATCCCCTACTACAAACAAAAAGAAAGTAAAGTAAAAAGAAACTAGCTAACAAATGAAAGACAGACCAAGCGGTCTCAGAGTTTGAGGGAATGCTCCTCTTGTTCTGAATTGAAACTCTGGGTGTGAGCTGGATTTCAGAGAGGCAGCATTTCATAAGGGTGTGTGGGGTGTCCATTTGAGAAGCCCCCCATTCTTGGGTTGATCCCAGTGCAAAAGGTGATTGTGTCCAGGTGTGAATTATCTCTCAGCCCAACCCACCTCACAGGGTGGTTGCTGTGGGGAAAACAGGAGGCAGGAGAATTAGGCTGCCTTGAGTTATATATATAAAAGGCGGGATAAAACCTACAACGGCAACAACAATGCAATCCCACAACATCTGGAGCACCACTGGAAGACGATCGGCATTGACCAAATCACCATCAGTCCATTGCAAAAGGCAGCTTCACTTGGAACGGCTTCCATCCTGCGATGATCCCTTTAACACCATCCGACAGCAACATCTGCCTATCCCAGGTCCTTGGAAGGACTCGATAGGTGGACAAAAATGCCAAATCCAGTCTAAACATCTGGCTGACTGTGCGACCAAGCACAACAATATATTTGAAGTGTTTCTAGTCCACCAGCATCCAAGGTACTTGTGATAGGTTCAATCCGTAACTGGAAGGATTTTTCCCGAGTTTTCTTTTCCAGAAAAAAAGGTCTACAATTAATTAAACGCACAGCCTACAGTTCCCATGATATGACTGGCTGGGTGAAGTTAATTTAACCCAATGTTTTCCAACCTTGGCCACTTGAAGACGGGTGGACTTCAACTCCCAGAATTCCCCAGCCAGCGATGCTGGCTGGGGGATTCTTGGAGGTTGAGTCCACCCGGCTTCAAGTGGCCCAAGGTTGGAAACAATTGGTTAAATTAACTTCACCCAGCCAGTCATATCATGGGAACTGTAGGCTGTGCGTTTAATTAATTGTAGACCTTTTTTTCTGGAAAAGAAAACTCGGGAAAAATCCTTCCAGTTACGGATTGAACCTATCACAAGTACCTTGGATGCTGGTGGACTAGAAACACTTCAAATATATT